TGCGAGAAACCTTCCTTCCTTAACTTTGGGCATCGGGTATTTTGTCTCAGCAATGAGAAAAGTAAGACAAGAACCTAGGTCCCTACCCTCTGCCCTGGCTTCCTGTAGAGAACACAGACACAACGGCTGGGGCCTAGCAACACAGCAGCTCAGATCTGGACAATGGAATCTTGCTGATGGTGATGAAGCAAGAGCACAGGCATGGAAGCAGGAAAGTGAAGGTATGGAATAAGGAAATGCGAAGAGTCCAGTTTGGTCACAATACTGGGTATGTGTACAAAGAGAGAGAAAAGGTGGGAAAGATCCTTCTGGACTGAGGTCAGACAAGCGAGAGTATTGTCAATCTAGAATTTCCCTTCAGTGCTCCTGCTGAGGTGGACAGATTTCTAGAAACAGAGCTATGAGGGTTCCCAGATAGAGAGGCCAGGCTAGGATACTCATGGATCCCTGCTGGAAAAGGCCTTCAGGATGGTCCCTGTCTCTGTCACTTTATCTTCCTGACTCTAAAACTAGGGACAATAACAATATCTACCTTATAGCACTTCATATGCTGTGTAAAGATGCCCAGAAGAGTAAGAGCTCAATAAAGATCTGCATTGTGACTCATGGGTATAAAACGGACCTCCCTTTCCTTCTCCTCTCCTTCCCCCTCTCTGTGGTACTAGGAATTGAATTTAGGGCTTTCACACTAAGCTACATACCCAGTGCCCCCAACCCCCTTTGAGACAGTCTCTCGAAGTCATTAAATTGTCCAGACTTGAACTTGTGATCCTCCTGCCTCAGCTTCCCAAAGTGATTACAAGTGTGCACTACCACGCCTGACTACTAAATGGAACTCTTAATAGTTGTCTCAAACACTTTCCATCCCATCCCAGGACATGGAACAACCATGTATCCAAGTGCTCAGGCCAAAATTTGGTTCCTAATAATGTTAGTGTTTGTATTTATTTGCTCTATCCTACTTTTTTGTTTTGTTTTGTTTTGTTTTTTGGTTTTTTCTCCGGTACCAGGAGCCGAACTCACGACCTTGCGCTTGTCAGGCAGGCGCTTTGCCGCTGAGCTAAATCCCCAGCCCTGCTCTATCCTACTTTATCCTGCTTTACCTATGAAAGAACTGCTTTTAGGGGTGCTTTTTGATACAGGTCTCACTGACTCTGTAATTCTGGCTGGCCAGGCTGACCTTGAACGCACGGTAATCCTCCTGGCCCACATTTCTGAGTGTTAGGATCACAGGTATAAGCCACTACATTGGCTAAAAGTTTTAAAACTACATTATCAACAGACCACTAACTGTAGGCTAAGTAATGTTTAAATTCGCTTTTTATTATTTGTATTTTTATTTGTGTTACCCTTAGAACAGATTTTACTAAAAATTTACAATCTAAGAACTGTGTTCAGGAAGCCTGAACTAATTTCTTACTTTTTTCTGGAAGGTTATGTTATTACCTTGATATAGTTAGTTCCATTTGCTTTTGTTTAAACACTTGTTTTGCCCCTTACCTTCAGGCTTACCCTGCCCAATCGCCACTTCCCTATCTTGCAGCACATCCTCTTGTCACTTTAGTTTTGGCAAGTGTTTTGTCTCTTGGTTCTGCCTCCTCAAAGTCCTGATTGGTTTTTTGTTTGTTTTGTACTGGGAATTAAAGGACCTCAGGCAATTTAGGCAAGTGATCTACCATCGAGCTATATCTCCAGTGCTTTTAAAAATTTTATTTTTAAGATCACTAAATTGCTGGGCCTGGCTTCCTACTTGCAATCTTCCTGCCTCAGCCTCCTGAGCAACTGAGTGTATAGGTGTGCACACCATACCTGGCTCCTGAGTGATTTTTACCTGATGACAATCAGATCTAGCCATTCCCCTGATTAAGTCTCCATCCTGTAAGCACGACCTACCAGGCTCGGCATGAACAGGCCTGTCCTCCTCAGGCTCATCTCATGTCTTTCCCTCAGGCATGCCGGCATTTTATCTTTCAAAATCCAAACTTTATAACCTCAGTATCCCTGCCCTCTTTCGTTACCTTCTAGCACATCAAGCTGTATATTTCACTGCCTTATTATAATTAGGAATTATCTTGCATATTTTTACAAGACCATAATGATTATTTAATAGGTCACTCATGTATAGCTCTATTTATTTTCTTTAGAAGCCACTTTGAAGATACCAAAGTACAGTACAACAATTGATAATCTCCTACCTCTTCTGTCTGTAACTCACTATTATTTGTCTATTTGTTTTCCTGAGAAACTATCTTGTAGATAACAATATGTAAAACAATAACCATTGATAATTTCCTACCACTTTGTCTGTAATTTGGTAAGCCCCCCCCATTACTATGTTATCCTTCTTTTACGCTTAAAAAAAAAAAAGACCAGTGTTCTAACCCCTGAGCTATGGAGCCACCACCTTATCTTGCATATTTTTTATTTACTATCTCCTCAACCAGGAACATAAGGTCCATGAAGGCGTGCTCTTGTCTGGCTAGCAGCTCACTCTCCTGTGCCTAGCACTATGCCTGAGTCATATACTAGGGACTCAATAAACATTTATGGAATGGATGAAACTTGAGGTGACTCCACTGACAACCATGTACAAAATGAGAAACCCAAAATTACTATAAGCCTGCTGGGCAGCCAAATTACAGATCCATACACACACATCTTCACACATAAACGCCCACGCCCAGCTCCTCTGGGTATCAGGCAGAGCCTGCATGCTCTTACTTTATAATGCAGTTCTAACATGCTTGATCAGCTGGTTTCTTTGACTATCATAGCTGATTTAAAATAGTAAACAGGAAGAGAAGGCAGGATGCCATTAGCCATTGACAACAGTAAGAGATGAAAGAGGGAAGACAGAGAAAATATATAAGAAAGCCAGGTATGGTGGCACACGCCTGTAATCTAAGCACTCTGCGATTAAGAGGATCACAAGTTTGAGCCTTGCTTGGGCCACTTAGCTAGACCCTGTCTTTAAAAAATTAATTAATTAATTAAAATGGCCGGGGAAACACAGCTCAGTGTGAAGGCCCCTGTGTTTAAAAAAAAAAAAAATTAAAGACATCCTAAAGCCAGGTATTTGGGGACCATTTAACTTAGCATAAACAGCCCAAGGTCATGGCTGTACACAGAAGTGTTTAAAGTGGTAGATTCCATTATCATTATTGTCATTAGAAAGTGATTATTCTAATCATGATGACTATTAGCAAGTGCCTAGTTTAGAGTAGGTGTTGATGAATTATATACAAGACACATTTCAGAAAGTTTTCTGTCAAAAGGGTGAAAAAAATGTGAGTTCTTAGGGGCAGCTTTGATCATGTGGAAAAATCTGATATTCATTCCTGACTGTGGATAACTGAAGCTTTGCTATTTTTTTTTTTCACTTCTTCTAACATTATTTCAGTTTCCTCATATTCTGACCTAAGACCAGGAAGACAGACAAGTCCTAACACTGATTATTGCTCCATGGCCATTATCTCTCTAAACTTAAAAAAACTGAAATAAGAAATAGCAGTGAGGAGCCGCGCATGGTGGCGTATGCCTGTAATCCCAGCACTCGGGAGGTTGAGGCAGGAGGACCGCTGTGAGTTCAAGGCCAGCCTGGGCTACAAAGTGAGCTTAAGGTCAGCCTGAACTGCATAGTCAGACCCTGTCTCAAAAAGGCAAAAAAAAAAAAAAAAAAAAAAGAAATAGCAATGAGGAATGACAGTGCACATCTACAATCCTACCATTCTGGGAGGAGGAGGCAGGAGGGCTGCACAGCCGTGGCAACCTAATGTGAGACCCTGTCTCAAAATAAAAGGACAGGGGATGCCGCTTAGTGTGAAGACCCTGGGTTCAATTCCCGGGACCAAAGCGGTAGGGGGAGCAGCTTTAGATTTCATACCTGGGCTTACTGCACATACCTGCGATTTTAGCACTCTGGGAAATTGACACAGGAGAATCTAAAGTTTAAGCCTAGCCTAGCCAACTTATTGATAAAAGGAGACTCCTGCCTCAGTATTTTAAAAACATAAAAATACATTACATTAAATTAAATTTAGGTTTCTAATTCTGTGGGCTTGGGACAGTTACTCATTCTCTTTGCCCTTCTGTCTTCATGTCTGAGAACTGAGGACACCAAACACACCGAGTTACTGGGTAAAATAAGCAAATGTGCACGAAGTAACCAGTGCAGACTCTCCATCTGTTAGCCACACCCCAACCACCAGCGCTATTTATGCTTATCACATGCAGGTGACTCTGCTTCTTAACGAAAACTGTTTCAAGATTTGGTAATCAAAACTGAAAGCAGAAAATAGTTTTACAAAACTGAAAGATAGTACTATTTTATCCTTAATCCTTTCAATAAGAGGCTTGGATTTTGCATATTTCCACTTGTTTAATCCCTGCCATGATGAAACACCCGCCCCCTCAACACTGAGCACTAAATCCAGGGCCTTTGCACTGAGCTACATCCCCTTCCTTTCTTTTTTTTGTCTTTCTGAGACAGGGTCTCGCTATGCAGTTCAGGCTGGTCTTGAGCTCACTCTGTAGCCCCGGCTGGCCTCAAACTCGCAACAATCCTCCTGCCTCAGCTTCTCAAGTGCTGGATTACAAGCGTATGCCACCAGACCTGGCCCCCGTTCTCTTTTGTATATACATTTCTTTGGTTTTTTTGAGGCAGGGACTCATCTGTAGTTCAGGCTGGCCCCTGTATTACGTAACCCAGGCTGGCCTCAAACTCACAGTGATCCTCCTGCCTTAGCCTCCCGAGTGCTGGGATTACAGGTATGCACCACCATGTCTAGCACTCACTGGGTTCTTGGGAGCATTAAATGAGACTCTGTGTGTAATATATTCACAGTCCCCGACACATAGCAAATGCTTTGTAAGTGGTAGCTACTACGGGCATTGTCATCATTACTACGCGTGTCAGGAAGCACCTGCTATACAGCAAAGTGGCTGATCCATGCTAAGCTCTTCTTCTATACCATCCAGTCAAGCTGTCCTTGAGCTCTTACCTGAAGCACGCTGTGGTTCATCTGGTACTGCAGGATGGCTTCACAGAGGTTCCAAAATGTGTATTCTGGCCATAGAATAGGTTGGAACACTAGACAGGAATGAGAGGTCTGGGAAAAATAGAGAAGGAAGAAGGTATACAATTTAGTAACACGTTTCTGGGCCGCTGTGCTAGTCAGTTCTCCAATGGAGGAGCAGGAACAATCCCAGAAATGAGACAGCACAGGCACCCTGCGCTGCAGCTGCTTTGGCAGCCAGCCCTGGTTCCCTCCCTGATGGTGGAGGGGTCACCTGGGGCAGTTAGATCACCTGCCTGTGGCAAATCCGGACTAAAATGAGACTAGATCATTATTTCCACCAGGATTTTTTTCAGAGCCAATTTTAGGCCTATGAAGTAACATCTGGATTATGTTATTGGTTGCTGGCCCTTTGAGGTCATCTAAGAGACACAGATGATAAAAGTCAGCAATGAACAAATGGTAGTTACTATTGTTATTTTTTTTATTTTTTTTATTTTTTTGAGGGGTGGGTACTGGGAATCACACTCAGGACCTCACGTTTGCCAGGCAGGCACTGTGCCACTGGGCTAAATCCCTGGGTGCTGTTGTTTGTTTGTTTTTTTTTTTTTTTTTTGGTTTTTCTCTGGTTCCGGGAACCGAACTCACGACCTTGCGCTTGCCAGGCAGGTGCTTTGCCACTGAGCTAAATCCCCAGCCCCCCTGGGTGCTATTGTTAAGTAGCAGCAGTAGGACACTGTGATTAAGTTCATGGGTTCTGGATTCTGGCTCTATGATTTACCCTCTATTTGACTTCGGGTACGTTATTTAACCTTTTTGGGCCTTCGCTTCCTTGAGTATAAATTGGATAATAGTTTTTAGGGTATCATGAAGATTAAATGTACACAGCAGAGTGGACCTGAATAATAATCACAGATTCCTTTTGTAATGCTTTATGGGGCAGTGCTGCGGATCAAACTTGGGGCTTCATCCATGCTAGGGAAGTGCTCTACCACTGAGTTACAGCCTCAGCCTCTGGAACACCAGTGATAGCCATTGTTTGATACTATTAGTGGCAAGGAATTCAATGCCTCATAGAGGGTAACTTTAGTTGTCAGAGAGCTTGCTATGCTAAAAGAGTATCACCTTCCCACAATTCCTACCAAGGGAATTATCTCTGAGACAAGTTTGTTTCTTCAAGTGACATTCTTTCAAATATTTCAAGGCTAGATTAGAGTTGCCTATTATCTGTTCCCAAGGTTGCACTGACTTGTTCAGTTTGTTTTCTGTGGAGGAATCACTTCTGACGTGGTTACTGCCATATTTATAGCACAAAGGAGGAACTCAGCATTTTTTTTCTAAAATAAAGAACCTTTTCCAGACCACGAGACTCTGTTCTGAGACATGAGATTCCTTGCTATCTAAATTGCCTCTTCCAGCAAGACTTCTAGTTTACCAGTGTCCCAAGTAAGCTTTCCAAATGTGACTGGGTGGCAGAGTGAGTCACAGAACCACAGGGTGCAGCCAGGTGTAGTGGCACGTGCCTGTAATCCCAGCATTCGGGAGGCTGAGACAGCAGGATCATTACAAGTTTGAGGCCAGCTTGGGCTACTTAGTGAGTTCACGGAAAGCCTGAACTACATAGCAAGACCCTGTCTCAAAAAACAACCCCTCCCCTGAATAAAGAACCACGTGGTACATACTGCACTTCCTTCAATGCAGCCAACAACTGGAAGCATCTTCAGTAGCTAATTATTCGTTCACTTTTAAAACTTAGATTTCCAAGGCAAGTCTCCTACCAACCTCTTCTTTTTCGGTGGCACTGGGGATTAACTGAACCCAGGGTGTCTGCACTGAGCTTTTTTTTTTTAACTTTGAGACAAAGTCTCACAAAGTTGCTAAATTGCCTATGCTGCGCTTGCCTTGCAATCCTCCTGCCTCAGCCAACCAGCGTGCTAAGATTATAGGTATGAGTGACCACTCCTGGCTGGAGCTTTTCTTTTTGTTTTTCAGTGTTTTGTTTTTTTGAGACAGGTTTTCATTACATAGTACAGGCTGGGCTTGAGCTCATGGTGATCCACTTGCCTCAGCTTCCTGCATGACAGAATTACAGGTGTGCGCCACCATGCCCACCTTCTGGCTAACCTTTTCTTATACAAGGAACTCTCCTGTCGTGTGCTATCCAGGGTCAAGGTAAAGACGGAATAGAGATTTTTAAGCAAAAACAAACTTAACTGCATATGAACTTTATAGTGACAACCTACAATGGGGTAACTGAGCTAAGAGCAAACCCATGAGAGTGTACAAGTAGTTTAGTTCCCTCATAGACCATGTATATCTATATATGTATAGCCCTTTTTCTCAATTAGGCCAGTAACTAGAAGGAAGGTTCTAGCCCTGAGGTGCTAAGGCACTTAGTAGCTTACCAAGGTTTCACCATGGTTGGAGAGCCTTGATTCTCCTTCCTTTTTTTTTTTTTTTTTTTTTTTTTT